TATTAGAACCAGAAAGAAAGTTTGGTAATGTGGCTAGATACAAATGTGTTGCCAAAAAAAGAAAAAAAATAAAAAAATAAAGCAGCTTTCCTATAAACTAAGAGATCAATATAAGAGACAATCTAAAACAGACTCAAATACAATGAGAATTGATAAGCGATAAAAACTGACATTTGGAAAAAAGATTTATGCAATACTGTGTTGGGACAATATCTCATTAGAGGGGGGAAAGGTAGACTCTTCTATGTCGCTATACCACAAAATTAATGCAGGAATAATTAATCACCTATATGTAAATAGCAAATTATGAAAGAATACATGAAAAAATATTTTAATGTTTTTGGTGTAGAGAACTGTTTCTAAGCAGCATATGAACCCAGAAAAAATTATATAATGGTGATTGTACAGAAATTTTGAAGTTCTACAAAGCAGAGACCATAAATGAACTATAAGTTGACATCTTGGAAGAAACTATGTAATACACACAAAAGACAAAATGTTATGTCTATGGAAAAAGCAAAAACATAACACATGGCAGGGCACGGTGGCTCATGCCTGCAATCCCAGCACTTCGGGAGGCCGAGGTGGCCAGATCACTTGAGGTCAGGAGTTCGAGACCAGCCTGGCCAACATGGCAAAGCCCTGTCTCTACTAAAAGTACAAAAATTAGCTGGGTGTGGTGACGGGCACCTGTTATCCCAGCTACTCCAGAGGCTGGGGCAGGAGAATCGCTTGAACCCAGGAGGCAGATGTTGCAGTGTGCCAAGATTGTGCCACTGCATACACAGCAGTGAGACAAAAAGAAAAGAAAGAAAAGCCCACAAAACAACTTTTAGAGGTCAAAAAGAAACAGTAAATAAACACATGAAAAGCTGCAAAACTCCACTGACAAAGAATTTATACAATAAAATGAACTATTTTTAACCTATCAGAAAAAATTAAAAGCTTTCTAACGATGTTGGTGGAGGTGCAGGGAAATGGACACTCTCATCATTATTATTTCTCAGTATTTATCAAATCCTAAAATATGCAAGCCTCATAATCAGCAGTCCAAATTCAAATATTTTATACTATAGAAATACTTAGAATAAGTATACCAAGATATAGGAACCAGGATGTTCAATCCTCAAAACATTGGTTTTTTTATGACAAAAGTTATATATATTCTAAACTTTCATTGATATGGGAAAGGCTAACCACATGGCAGTTACGCATGATGGTCAACAATGAAATCCTAAGACCATTATAAAGTATAACGAAGATCAAGGCAGAGGCCCAAGACACACTATTAAATACAAGTAACAAGCTGCAGATAAGAAGAATACTACAATTCTATTTTTTAAAAATACTGTGTTTCTATATGTGTTTTCTAAAATAAAACATACAAAGCTACTTACAGTCAGCACTCGGAGGAGCAGATCTAAGAGAAGGGAGTATTCCCTCTCTTTTTGATACACTGGTTTTTCAGAATGTATTACTACTAGCCCCTGCTATTATTATTTTTGCGATTTAACCCAGAACCCTCTGCCCATACACAACAGGCCTGTCACTTTCAAATATGTAATCAGTATATAAGACTTCCATATTCTGAGTAATTATTTTCCATCCACTGGCCTCTGCGAGCTGTTGCTTCCACATTATACCCTCTGCAATACATGAAGACAGTTGCCACATACCCTTCAATCTTCTATTATCCAGTTAAATATCCCAAGTCCCTTCATGCACTCCTTATGGGAATAGTGTCCAGGGTTTGCCATTCATTCTTTTTTAGAATGCCAAGACACATTTCCCTGGGCTCCATCTGTCCAGAACAATATAGAATGGGTCTATCGTCCCCTTTATTTTGGAAACAATTTCAACAGATGCACCTAACAGCTTAATTAGCTCTTTTGACAACCATACACAGCTGTTTATTAAAAATACAAGCATGGAGGATGGGGTTCAGGGAAATTCTCTCTACTGTCTTCACAATTTTTCTATAAATCTAAAATGATTCTATAAAGTAGAAGTCACAAAATAAAATCAAATATTCTATTTACAAATATAAAATGTAACTTGAAAACTACTATTAGGTACTATGCTCACTACCTGGGTACAATATACCCATGTAACAAGCCTGTACATGTGCCCCCATATCTAAAATAAAAGTTGAACATTAAAAAACATGTCATTTGAGATATTTCCCTCAGAAGGAAATTTTCTTCACAATTTACTTCTTGAGTCCTGTAGCAATTTACTTATGTGTGACTGATATGATACATTTTGCTGGCATCTGCTTATGCTAGTGACATTACTAAAACCATCCAAAACTGTTCTACAATAAATAGTTTTAACCATAAATTTAGAAGAAAATTCATAAATATTCAGGAACACAAATAATTATATCCCCTCTGAAAGTTAAGAAAGAAAGAAAAAGAAAAGCCTGACCAACATGGTGAAACCCCCTCTCTACAAAAAAATACAAAGATTAGCTGGGCATGGTGATGCACATCTGTAGTCCCAGTTGCTTGACAGAGCTGAGATGAGATGATCGCTTGAGCCCAGGATGTCCAGGCTGCAGTGAGCAGAGATCATGCCACTGCACTCCAGCCTGGGTGACAGACCAAGACTCTGT